ACAGCTTGGCTAAATGTTCATTCGGAGAGAATGCACCAAATTAAAGAAGGTGGTAAAAGGCTGCCGGTGTCTGCTAGGTTCTGTTAGATAGATGACCTGTGGCACTAAGATGGATGGCTACATTTCCTCCAAATGCAACAGCAGTTTGTTTGGGGGGAGAGGGGTAGGAGAGTAACTGGGTTGTTAGTACAAAGTTGTGATAGCCACAGTCGCTGAACTGGCAATGAAAATAACTTCACTAAGAGAAAAGAAAACTTCATAAATTGAAAATCCAAGAAAAGGATGGTTACTGTGCCGCCCACGCCGTTTGATTGAGAGCCAATCTCAGTGAAACGAAGCGCAGAAAAACACTCAGCAATAAGGATGGAAATGAGCGCTAAAAAAAGCATGATGCACTGAAACCAATATGCTGTGAAAAAAGTTGTATGTAATATAATTTCCTTCATACAGTGCTGCTTACATAAAAGACAAATACACACATTAGACAAATAAGATGAAAAGCATGGAAAACAAAAGGCAAAAGACAGAAAACAACTGAAGCAATTACAGCCTCTAATGGTCATTAAGAAAGTCATTAAAAACATTTACAATGCCTTTTAGGTTATTTCACCTTTAAATGGTTTACATGTCATCTCATTTTTTTGGGGGGGTCTATTATCTAAAATGCAAGTGAAACACAAGGAAACATTTCAGTGTTATGTGAAAAAAATCTCCAGGAGCACAAATGTATTGACAAGAAAGATTAAACGGCATTTAGATGGAAGTCAAGTCTGCTTTTTCTTTGTTAATTTTGTTTTAGGAAAACAGGCTCTGGTATGCAGCGAAAAATCCAACGACGGAAACCTACCAAAAAGCACAGATGGCCTCTAATAATGCAAAGATGCAAAATGAATTTACTTAAATACCTAAAATTATTTTAAAAAAAAATGTCAGGTTTCCCTCAGCTGAACGGGAAACGCAGCTGTGAATTTATCATTAGTCTGAGCACTCTATAAATGCCATTCCTTGGTGCAGCTAAATGGAATAACAGTAATTTAACATGTGAGACTGTGACTAACCTTAATAAAGAACAAATGGGCTGTTTGTATGCAACCAGGTTGCAATAGATAAGGAAGGATTTAGTGGCTATAAAAGGATTGCTTCAATGCTACCTAGTGGGCAGACTGTGCATCTTCCATGTCGCATGACTGAATACATATAGAATGGTTCAACCTCTCTCTAATAAGGAGTGTTGGCTTGAGGAGTTGAAGACTAAAACATAAGTAACCAAGTTTTACTCAAACTCAAGGCTTGTTCTTTCAAAACACAATATGTCTGAACATTACTGAGACACAGGAGAAAACATTAAAATCACCCTACAGTTTAGTTATAAATATTATGCTTCTAGCAGCAAGTAGACCCCCTTGACAAGAGAAATATAAATCATGGGGAATCTACTGATTTTGTATAATTTGGGTTGTGTGCTCCCTCTGATTGTTGGAGTCCATCCACTGTTCTCCATGAAGCACATAACCAAACATCCATGAAGTGTCCCTGCTCCCAGCCTGTGGCCTTAGTGGGTTGGCAGCCAAAACCCGAGCCCATGTTTGACAAGGGGTTAATGTTTCAGAAGAAGTCTGGCGAAACCACAAAAAGACAGTCAGTCTGGATGGACAGACCGAGGGCTGTCACTTGTCCATTTTGTGGTCCGTCCTGCCTCTTTTTCTATCTCACCTCTCCAGCCTTTGGTTGAACTCTGAAGTTCTCCTCCCATAATTTACACGCTCATCAGCCTTACTGTAATTTCCAGTGTATGATAAACCCACACCAGGACCACAGGAGGGATAGTGCTGCACGCCTGTTTTTGGAATCAAATGTAATTACAATTCTGCAAAAGCTTCAAATTGCACCATTGGGAAGGATGACTGCAGTCTGCACCAATAACAGGAAAGCAGATGCAACAAAACTGCCACCATCTATTACATCTGGGCCAAAGGCAATCTATAAAATCACTTGCAAAATAAGGTACACTAATATACCAGGGAGATTCACAGCACCAACTCAGCAAAATGAAAAACTTATGTCTAAGGTAAAGATGATGAGAAGCTGGGGGGGACGAAATCTACATGAAGTAACAGCAATGATTGAAAAGCCACATGCCATGCTGCATAAGGCATGAGGCTATGCATTTGTTACACCTAATGCAACATGTTAATGTGATTTTTCACCAGCTGTGGCCTTAACAGGGCCAGGCCTCGAGGCCAAGGCCCAGTGGTCTCAGCAGATAGCCCGAACTGGCCTGTGCTGTGTAAGGCTGGGATTATGGATGGCAGGGAGCTTGCAGGGCTGACAGGTAATAATTCACTCCCCAGGGGTCCCACACCCTTCGCTGGTTACAACACAACCAGACAGCAAAGGGTTGAGATGCTGAAAGGGGAAAAAAATAAAAAATAAAAACCTTGAATTGCACATCCCCATAACCCACCTACCTCCTCTTTCCTCCCATGCCCTTCAAGAGGCAAGACTCTCCCTGGCAGCACAGTTGCCACGGGTAACCAGCCATTATCAAAATGAAATATGAGGTGCCACAGACCAGTGCCGCTCTCAGGTGCAGGGCCAAACAGAGTCCCATATGTTGTAAATGAGTCAGTGGGGTGGGGGGGTTGACTTAACTGTTGCTTCCTGAAGCACGGCATTGCTCGACCCATTCTTTGACATCAACAGTAGCGGAAGGTGCTCTGCGATATGAGACACTTCAGACAAATAACTGTTGTTAAGGTGGCACGACAACAGCCTAAAATCTATCATCTAAAGCCTTCAAGTTCCTTTTAAGCACAGAACTGGGGGGGCGGGGGGGATGCAGCTATTCAGCAACTTCAAGAGCACCTGAAGAGAAAATGTGACTTGTTTTCATCTATCCAACTAAAATATAGCTTTTCTTCTTCTTTTCGAATGTTCAAAGCGGCAAAATATGTGTGAGTGTTCCTTTTATATCCATAGATACGGTGGGTGAACACTTCATCTTGACAATGAAAATAGTCAAAGTGAATGTCCCCATAGGGCCAGAGCTCTCAGCCTCTGGTTAGAAGCCTATTTCAACCATCATTACCCTGAGGACCATTAGGAGGATGCCATCCGCACATATAGGGTCCGTCATTTCAAACTAAAAGCAAAACGATAAAATGGAAATCGGAAATAAAATTACACACTGGGCTAAATGCACCATTAACCATGCTAACTAAGCGACAAACCTATCAGGGCTCGGGGAATGAGAAGTAGATGAAGAGAAAGCAATTCTGAGCAGTGATGAGAAATGAATGCAATGCTGGGTACTTGGCACCTTCTCACATTTACGAGCAACTCATTTGTCAGCAGAAAGATATTTTCCCTAATGATTATGTATATGAGCAAAGGAGAAACAAACAGGGCTGCCGAATACGGAGCATTGACGACCACCACAAACGAGGGCTGAATGTAGATGGGTCTGCACTATTCATAGTGCGAGTGGGAGCACAGACAGACCTGCTGGTTGGGAATCAGGCTACACAGGAGCATCCCACTCGCCCTGCACAGAAGCAGCACTCCTACTTGTCAGCACACCAGCAACATGTCAAATAGAATAACCTGAAACCACACTGCAATACTCTGGGAGCAGCAAAGAGTGCAAAGTCATTGTACAAGTGTGGTAAGAAAACCGCAAGCCAGGAGTGCCACCACCCCCCTCCCCATCCTGCAATGTCACTGCAGCAGCTGAGGATGGGGACAAAGCTAAACCAAAAGAAAGTCACAAGCTCTGACCACATGGACACCACTTAAACATCTGACCAGATAATCAAAACAAAAGAGCATTTGGAAACTAAATGTTGCAGCTCAATCAAAACAAAGTTTAAAGTATTTTTTTGTGTGTGTGCAAAATGCTTGGGAAAGTTTTGCAAGCTGTTGGGTCAATAGAATGCAAATTTTACCCAAAAAAGTAGAGATGAGGTTTTTCCTCTTTGTGCAAGAGCGAGATGTATTTACTGTTGAACTGTTTCAGCCTCAGCTGAATCAAGAAACCCACTGAGGGAGATGAGGCACCTAATGCACAACAGGCTGAGACAAATCAGAGAGCTGTGTGTCTGCAGAGAGCAACTGCAAAGCATCTATTCCAAGACAAATAACCACCAGCGGCTTTTGTAAGTGTTGGTAACAGATGCATATAGGTGTTAAAAAATATTTCAAATCTCTGTTTGCATTTTAGTGAGATCCAGCACAGTCTGCAGTTAAACTCTGCGTGCAGAAGCAGAAACCTGTTAGATTAGAACAATGAGCTCATCGCTTCCCTCCAGAGATCCTGACATCGAGACTAAACCGCAGCTGGAATTCGCATGATTTAAGATGCAAAATGTAGGCAAGGTGGGAGAGAAAGGTTCACTTTCAATGCAACATAGAAGAGTTACGCAATGAGCGCGTTCTGCGAGACTGAGATGTTTACCTCACCTTTTTCACTGCGCTCTGTGTTTTGCACAAGTTAACAAATCTTTGTCCTGAAAATAAACGTTTCTGATAAAGCAGTGTTAGATGCAAAAGAGAACGCATGATTGCAATAACTGGTGAAGAGTTCTTATATTATATGACAGACTAGGAGTGAAAAAACATTAATGTAGGCACTGAAAAAACTAATTTCTAACAACAACAAAAATAAAATAAAAATTGAAAAGACTGCAAATGTCTGTCAGATAACAGCTGATAAAGCTTGCAGAAAGTCTGCAATTGAGCCTGGGCGCAACAGGATGACTGGAGAGCATGGAAAATAACATCTATTAATAATAATAATAATAACATTAAAAATATATATCCTTAAATTGGGCAGAGTTTAAAGATAAAGAATGGTATTTGATTATCTGCAGGTAACGCTCCCAGCATGCTGTTGTAGGATCCACTGTGTGCAAAGTTAGAGCATCTTCAGTCTTAATGAGCAAAGTCAGCACAGCTGAGGCAGATTCGCTCCGTCCGCAACTAGAAAGCCAGGCAGCCCTTACCTTATTATTTCCACGATACTTCCACTGTATGTTGTAGTCTTTCTATAAGGTCGGAGAAAAAAAGAGCAAGTCACAATAAAGAAAAAAAAAAAGAGGACTTGTTATTGTAGAAGCTGGTTGTTTTCGGAAAACAGTTAGTACTCCCAGAGCGCAAGCATAGAGAAAAGGCGCCCCACACCGCTGTGACAGGACTGGAGCCAGTCCGACTGGAAATCACAACACTTCAGCAGCCGCAAGGCCACGCCCCCTCACTTCACGCTGACAAGAGTTCCAGCCAATCACAATGTGTCCTTAAATAACCTCTTCGCTGCGATTGGCTGGAAGGATTGAAAATTGAGGAATAGCTTCGCCCGGTGCTGTTCACTTTTCTTCCAGATGTTGAGCGCCTGAACGTCAATAACTGTAAACCCGAGAAGCCAATCAGCGCGTGGCGCAGGGTATACAAACTCAGTCTGACCTCTTAAAAAAAGGAAAGGATCTTTGTAAAGCATTATTTAAAAAAAAAAATGGTTTCTTTTAAATCATTATGACATAGAAGTACATTTAAAAACACCATATGAAGAAAAAAAATCTAACATTACTTCGAAAAGTAAACATATATGTTGGAAATTGAAATATTCCAGGTTACTCAGTGTCAAAGAAAATTACAATGTCACATAAGATCATTAAAAATAATATTGCAAACAAAAAATTAAGGGCTCCGAATAAATGTGTTAATAGATATGTAAAAAGTAATATATACATGTACTTTGTAATTGGTAAGGCCTCTTTTTGCAATAATTACTGCATAAAGGCCCGTGTTTTTCATGTGGGACAGAAATAACAATAATATAAAAAAAAAAGGTGTCCTCAAATAAGATCAATAAAAATAATATTGCAAACAAAAAACTAATTAAGGGCTCTGGATAAATGTGTTAATATATGTACTTTGTAATTGGTAAGACCTCTTTTTGCATTAATTAGTGCATCAATGTGGTGTGGGATGGAGGGAGTCAGTCTATGGGACTGCTAAGGCGTTATGGAGGGTCAGGATGCTCAGCTTTCGGGTCACCTGCATTGTTGGGTCTGGTTTCTCTTATCCTTCTATTAAAAGAAATGAAAAACTAATATGTACATTCTTTTGGTGGTGAAGAAAGTTAATGAGAGACCTATATACAGAGGCGGTTCAAGAAAACATTTACCGGGGGGCCGGGGGAGGCCCGTGTTTCTTCATGTGACACAGAAAAAAGAATAATAATATTAAAAAAGGAGAATTGTTTAGAATGTTAAGTCAGCCACAAAGCCAAGGTTGCAGAACCCCTGACCTAATGGATGAAAACTGTGACCTCTATTATTAGGACTGAAGCATAAACTGACTGTAATTGCTAATTAACTGTTAAAGCACAAAATATTAAATTGTCAAAGGGACAAATTAGAGGTGGTCTATTCTGTCAGTGCAAGTCATCGTAAGAAATTGATTTTGTATTACACAGCAACAACCAGAGGTGGGTAGAGTACTTAAGTAAAAGTAAAAAGTAGTCATCTAAGAAATTAATCAAGTAAAAATAATATAGTTTGGTCAACAGGCTACTGAATAATGTTTGGATAGTAACATCCTATTAAATGTTTAGAAATTATGCAGGCAGACAGACTTTATGCTCAAGTTCAGGTATTTTATGGATTAAACTGTATAAAGAATATGAATATGTGTTAGGAATGTGAAAGAAAAACATTGCAGAACAAATACTTGTAAAAAGATATTTTTCTTTCCCCAAAAAACTTAAAAAAAAAAAAACAATCCTTAACGTGAGATTTGTTTATACAGTATGTTAGGACAGGGTAAATAACTTTCACTAACAATGTCTTCTCTTTACTGTATATTCATCTTATCTTGGAATAGTTTAAATCTTCAAAGAGGACAGAATAGTTACAAATTTTACTCAAACAGGAGTAGCGATACTTTACAAAAAAATTATGCAAATAAATGTAAGAAGTGCAGCACGGTAAAACTACTCATCAAAGTAACATTTTTATAAAAATATGTTACCCAAGTAGATGTAACTGAGTAAGTGTAACTAGTTACTACCCACCTCTGGCAACAACTGATCTAAGTAAGTCAAGATTTCCTAAAACAAGTGCATTTGACTTAAATTCCATCAGGTAAATAAGATGATCAGCAGAAAGAATGAGTATTTCTACATTTATAACAACATATAGTAGCTAGATGTAATGTACTAGATAAAATAATAGAGTTGATTCTTTTTATTTTAAACATAAATCATCTTATTCTGATAGAAAATTCTCCTACCTAAATAAAGGAAATACTATACTTAATATAAAAAAAAAAACTGACCTACTTAGACTTAAAAATTTGCAGTGATTGTTTTCAGTGTAGGGGCCACAACAGTGGCCAGGACCTGTTGGTCCCTGTATAGAACCAGCCATGGACACATGTGGTAACAGAAACCCCTCAGAGTTTTATTCAGATAAGGCAAATACCTTTATCCATAGATCTTTGCTTATATATTAGATGTCAACATGTTACAGATATGATATCAACATAAAATAAAAAAGCACTCAGATAATGCAGACTTCCGCCAAGCAGCACATGTTGCCCCATATTGCATTACACCTATAACTAAAACTCGCACATGATCTGGGTCATTTCTACATTTCCTTTAAATTTTCCTTGGCATTAGGTGCACTTTGGCATGGTTTTAGAGTGTCTTTTCTAAATGGGGAAGATCAACAAGTTCTTTTTCTACTTTGCAATAAAAGACGAAAACAGACAAAGTCACATTTAGAAGGTAATTGAATAGTGTCTCATTTCCACCCCTGATAATTAATCTAGGGATGTCCAGATCTAATAATGATTTCAGAAATTTGTCTGTTATCAGCCAAAAAATTAGCATAGGTATGTATGTTTCTAATATAGGCAAGCTAATACAAGCACTCTGCTTCTATATAAAGGTTTTCTAAGCTTTTCTTATATTTCATATTGCAAAATAAAAAAAATCTATGAAATAAAAAAGTTTGTTGGTTAATGCTGATATCGCATAAAGTCAATGTTGGCATAGGGAAATACTCAAAACTGCAATATCTATAGCGATATCTAACTGGAAATAAAAAAGATGTATGTTGTCATATTTACATTAATAACTTTAGTATAATCATATCACCCATTGCTTTTTTTTAGCTTCAGTTTGAATGTGACATATAGTGTGATTTGTGTGATTATATGTGTTAATTATCCAAATATAGGAATTCTGAAAAGTCAATGACTTAATGCAAACTACTGAGTTTCCTTTTATGGAAAGCATTTAGCCATCTGTCTGTATGATTTGATTAAATGGCACTCAAGACAGCAGTGGGTAGCACTTGCAGCAAGAGGGTTCTGGGTTCGATTTCCAGCCCGGGATCTTTCTGCATGGAGTTTGCATATTCTCCCTGAGCATGTGTGGGTTATCTCCAGGTACTCCAGCTTCCCTCCATAGTCCAAAAAAATTACTGTTAGGTAAAATGGCTTCTCTAAATTCTCCTTATGTGTGAGTGTGAGTCTCAGCCTTCATTACATGCCTGCCCGCTCTCCAGCACAACATCTCTTGCAATTACCAATGCTCTCGGATTTTACTCACATTCTCCCGGACCTCTGGGGTACAGTCTGCAAAGCCCACTGAATCAAAACCCCTACAGATCCATGCTACCTCATAATGCCCCATAACCTACCCTTCATCTCTCAAGAAAGCAAATCCATCAGTCATCAGTTGTCATCATCAACTTTTTCCTGATCCATCTGTTTTTACGCCTCATATCAACAGAACGTTCAACTGATTTCCTCCAGTTCTTCGCTTCCAGATTGATTTAGCTTTTTGTATTTAAAATTTTAAAACTCACTAGTTCTTCTCGTGATTCTGCATGTGGGACAAAAGCTTCAATACAACATGACAGAATGTTGCCTCAAGTAAGAAATAACTTTAGCCTGCAGCCAGACCAAAGTTAATGTTGAACAGTCAATTGATAATCATATAAAACTAAATAAAGCAAATCCTCAAAATCTTAGGAAAAAGAGAAAAAAAACTTGTATGCCTTGCAGAATGAATGACTCGCAAGAAGTTTTGTGTTTTCTGTTAAACAATATTCACCCTGGTTTGTGCATTGACACAGCGTAGATCTAATTGCAAACCACCTCTTCTACAAGATGACACCAAAGTACTTTCTGCACTCAGCATGTCCTCTAAATTGAAACAGGTGAATGAAATTTGAAAGACGGGGACAAAGTGTACTGACAGCAGTTAATCAGTTGGCAATAATGATGTTTAGGGCACTGCCAGCGACACTAATGAGACACCTGTGCTGATATGGCAGCACCAAGACATTTGATCTGTCTGCATCTGTGTTTGATGATAATCTAATAGATGGACACGACCTCACTGACTCATTCATCTTGAGCTCTCATCTTTTGCATTGCAGAAGCAGTCAGTCTCTCGTGTCAAAATGCTCCTGAGTTACCTAACACAACAGTTCAAGTACCCTCCGCAATAAACTAGAAATATCACCCCGCTGGGAGTGAGGTAGATACCAAACTTTATTATTGTGTTACGTTTGCTGATTAGATTTTTCTTTCAGGTCAAGAAGAGGGGAAAAAAACAAATCCAGTTTGCAATGAAAACTTCAGCATTTTTTCACTGATATTTGCTTTGGCAGCATAAGGCTGATCTGCAATGTTAGGGCCCTTTTCAACAGAGAGATATAATAAAACCAAGTGACCATAACTCTGAATTATACAAAACAAACAAACAAAACAACAACAACCTCAGCCTGCATTTAAAAAACTTTGTTTTGTTTAAACATACAGGAATTTCCTTAAAAGATGCAATCATTAACCATTTAACCATATGTAAAAGAATATTCCATAATTGGCTAGTGATTTAACCAGAAATAATTGTAGGTTTTCTTCAGTAGATTCTTACAATTATGTATTTTCTTAAGTTGACACCCTAAGGTTAAAAGTGGCTGTTTAGAGATATTTTTTATGAGATTGCCACCGTATTTTAGATGTGCAGCAGCACACAGTATGAGGCATAAGATATAAGGCTGGGAACAACATACTGTTTTATTCTTAAGGTATTTAATATATATATATATTATTTTTTTTTATCAGAAAGAAAATACATACATTGTATGTGCAAATTAATCACAAAATAACAGTATAGC